AATAGCCTGGCGCCGAGTTCAAAATAGCCATACACCGAGAAATCCGTGTCGAGTATCCGTCACTGTTCCACTCGGCGCTGAACTCCCGGGGCCGAGATTGTTTCGCGTGTTAGTTTCCCCGAGTGTTGACTAACGGCGAGACCGCAATTCTCTCGATAGTATTAATTTCATTAGGCCAACGTATCTGTGCGGTGGAATCTCGAGAAGACATGATCAATGCCCTTTCTTTGCCAGATCTGTCTTATCTCGCTGGTACTTTAACCGATTTAAACGGTTCATTCACACTCGGTGAGAGACACACTTTGTCAGATTCTCCGACTTCAGAACTGACGAATGGATTTTTACATTTCAGTTCTGCGCCAGACTTTCCCTTTAAAGTACAGTAGAATTTCGTTCGTACGAACTTTGTTGGAGAAGAAACAGTTTATACAAGGGTGATTGTTAATCGCATGTCGGTGAATATTATCGAATAAATGAAAAAAAGTATCAACAGTGTCAAAGTTAAGGTACGTTTTACACGATTTCTAGCGCGCCGTATTTTATTGCACGCCTTACCACTTCTACATTAATCTCAAATTTGTTTTGAATTTTGAATTTCTTGCTGTTAAATGCACGACAGATTTTGAAATGTAACAAAAACAAAAGTTTAATGGTTTCTTAGCTTGTTTAACTTCGGTAAAGATAAGTTTCAGACATATATATATATATATATATATTGAATATTTTCTTTAATTATCTATAATTCAAAAATATATAGAGCGTGTTTTTTTTATATATAGAGAGTGTGTAAGTTCATCGCCTGCAATTAAAAACCAGTATGAATAGATTTAATCAGCAAAAGTTCATTTAATCGAATATTAAAATCATAGAGAATGCACATATTATGAAAAAAATATACAGATTGTCCATAGATTTAGTGTCTAAACTTTCTAAATATGTTTTACAAAATGAAACTAAAATATCGTAAATAGTTCGTTAAAAAAACTACAACAAAAGCTATAAAACGTCCTTACTAATATTTGTACTGATTTATGTGTGCATCTTGAATGAAAAGTTATCAATTTGATATTAATTGTCATAGAATTGATTTCAGACAAAATTCCACGCTGATTTGATCTAAATGATTATCGTAAACTTTTGCCCTCGGAGTCCATCGAGTATCTTTCCAATCAGTATAGTAACTGAATTATGCACAAAGATGGTAAATATTATGTATCCTGTATTAAACTAATAACAATGAAAACATTCATAGATTCACGCAAAAACATTCATTTACCACGCAACACTCAACGCCTTGGAGTGATGAAGTTTGCAACGCAAAACCTCTGGAACACCCTATATACATAACACCTAAAGCACAAATGTTTTCAGCAGCGTTTAATACGTGGAACAGTTTCCCATCGTGGGTCCTACATTCTCCATTATCGTCTCGCAAATGCAAATTTGCATAAAAATCCGCAATCTACTGATAAATTATTCGCCCCCGCGTTTGTGTTCGCGCATCCGCGGAAGCAAAGAGGGGAAAGAAACAAAGAAAACAATCTAGCCCGAGGTTGGCGTGCTTATTCCGTTCCGGTGGAACGCGATCTCGCGTTCCGTGCATTCGACCTTATGCATTCGGTAGCGAGTGTAATCTTCCGCGGCAAGTTCGCCGATCGTAAAACGTTTCGCGGAACGGAAAGTTTCCGCGCGTGAAACTCTTCCCGACTGGTTCGATGGAAAGAGCAACTTTTCCACCGGGCCGACAC